AGAAACTAATTTCTACAATTGGTTAACAGAATTATTTCAATCCCTAAAAATCAGGAAATGTAACAATGCTGATATCCTTTCCATGTGAGCTGGCTGAGCACTCCATGTGAGCTCATTGATCAATTCTAACTGTAGTCACCTGGATTGTGCTAGTTTAAAATTGATTGTGACCCTTGGATGAGATCGACGGCTGTGGTTTATTCTTGTGAGATATTTTCTCTTGAGCTTCGACTTTTGAGTTCCATTCGGTTCCTTCCTTGAGACTTCTCTTCTCTTTCTCACAGTTGGTCCGTCTCTCTCTCTCTCTCTGTTGAGTTCGTGGTCTTCATCCGGTGTTTACTGTCTTCTTTAGCATGTTGTTGAGAGAATCTTGTGTAATATGCAGGCTTGAAGTAGTAGCTGAATGGTGTTGGTTTCTCGCAAGGGTTAGGTCATTGTTAGGGCTTGAACTTGACTGTTTTGGTAGTTCCTTGGATCGATGACCCAAGTCAAGTTCTGAGTGTTTCTGGCTAGTTATAAATCTCTCTCTGGAAGGCAATTTGCAAACGTGGAGGGGCTGTTCCCGAGCCTACCATTTATGGCCATGGATGAGTGAACTGGGTATCAACGTTGTACTTCGCTAGAAGGGAAGAATAACTCTGTTATTTACTATTTTCAGTTTCTATGGTTTCATTATGTTTTGTAGACGTTTGAATGCATTGTGGTTGTTAAGATTATAACTGTAATTTCCCAACAAAACTGGTATCAGAGCTTGGATAGCCTAAGGTTTTGTAACTGGTTAGAGCGTTCCAACCTCACTTGTTGAATACTGTTTGGTGGACTATCTGAATTGATGCATGATTAACTGATTACTTGTCTATGAATTCTGGTGATTGAATTATTGTGACTAATTTGTAATCTTGGAAGCATGTTTACTTGTATCATATACCAGTGTATTGCCTAAATTTGGATCACATTTGCCCACACATCACACTGAGGTTTCTTGATCGGATTGACTCATTAGTGTGCTTCAATTTCTGGATATTGTTTTTAACTCTGTGTTTCTATTTTATATTGATCATCTGGAAAAGATATTTTCAAAACATTTTCTGTTATTTCCACGAGTACAGGCCACCCTTTTAAAGAATTCAAAATGGGTTTGAGGGTTGAATTATCACAATTGGATGGGAATGGGGATTACTCGATATGGAAACGGAAAATGAGGGCTATTTTGGTCCAACAGAGAGTTGCAAAAAGTCTCGATGATCTGCTACTTTTTCTGATGAGTTAAAGGCTAAACTTGTTGAAATTGAAGAAATGAATGAAACTGCTTATAGTTCTATAATTTTGCACTTATCTGATAATGTTGTGAGACAAGTTAATAGTGTTAGAAATGCTAGAACTTTGTGGACTGCTTTAGATGCCTTGTTCTTGACTAAAACTTTGCATAACAAGATATATATGTTAGAAAAGCTGTTTAGTTTTAAGATAGACCCAAGAAAGGACGTGGAAGGGAATTTGAGTGACTATAGCATAACTGTTAAGAGTCTGGCTCATAATGACAAGAAATCTGAGGATGAGGATTTAGCTGTCATATTGCTAAACTCTTTACCTGAATCTTATAAAGAAATCAAAAATGTCATAAAATATGGAAGAGACACTCTTTCACAAGCTATTGTAGTAGATACTTTGAAATCTAGAGAACTAGAACTGAAAAGAGACAACAGAACTAATTCCAGAGAAGAAAGCTTATTTATTAGGGGAAGACCTGAAAATAAAGAATTTAACTTTCATAAGAAGAAGGGAAGGGAAAATCTAAAATGAGATCCAAATCTAAAGACAGAAGCAACAAGAAATGCTATAACTGTGAAAAGTTAGGACATTTCAAGAGGGACTGCTTCAACGGAAAAAAGAAACAAAAATACTTGAACAATATTGATCTAAATAATGCTGCCATTGTTTCTGAATTGGATAGTTTACATGTCCTAAATGTGCCTGAGGAAGGGTCTGATAGAGATTGGATTCTGGACACAGGGTGCACTTTTCACANACTGAACTTTGGCATAATAGAATGTGTCATATTGGGTTTAAAGGGCTAAAATCTTTAAGTAATCAGAAATTACTTGGAAAAGATGATATTGAAGCTATGGACTTCTGTGAGACTTGTGTTTTGGGTAAGTTCCATAAGGTGAGTTTTGAAGCTAGTTCTCATAGAACCAGCAGATCATTGGACTATGTCCATATTGATTTATGGGGCCCTGAAAAGCATTCCACATTTGGTGGAAGGAAGTGCTTCTTGTTCTTAGTGGATGATTACTCAAGGAAAGTTTGAATTTATCATTTGAAGGCTAAATCTGAGACTTTTGGAAAATTCAAAATTTGGCTTAAGTCTATTGAGAACCAGTTGGACAAGAAACTTAAAACAATAAGAGCTGACAATGGGCTTGAGTTCTATAATTTTGAATTTGACAACTTTTGTAAGCAAAATGGGATAACAAGACACAAAATAGTTAAGTATACACTTGAACAGAATGTAGTCATTGAGAGAATGAACACGACCATAATGAACAAGGTTAGGTGCATAGGTTAGGTGCATATTGATTAACTCTGGCCTTACCAAAGGTTTTTGGGTTGAAGCTGTAAGTACTGCAACTATCTGATTAATAGGTCACCATCCAGCATTATAAACTTTAAGACTCCATAGGAATTGTGGACATGGGATCCTCCAAATCTAAATCACTTCAAACTCGAGTTTTTGAAGTCTATTTGAGAGAACCTTATGTAATATTTAGGCTTGAAATAGTAGTTGAATGATGTTGGTTTCCATACAATTGTTGACCCATCCAAAATAAAGCATCATTCAATCCCAAATAAAGCTAAACCAGATAAAATACATGTTCATAACACTAGCTGTGAACATTCTGTCTAACGAGGGAATGTTCGATAATCAAATTTAGAAAGTACAAAGGACGGGATTTTAGCTTCCTTTCCGTCCTAAATATTATCTAATATCGTACTGTACAACCACTACAAGCAATACCAATAACTGTTCTTCCATTCTATCACTAGTCTTTGAACCCCTGAGAGGAAAAACACAATCCCAAGCCATCCAGGAACAAGGGAAACTGGTAAATTCAATCTATACTCGAATTCTAATACATAGCATTGAACAAATAGAGTTTGGACTTTCCGCAATAAAAAATTACAAAACAAACAACATATTAATGGACAGAAAGTGAAATATTTCAATTAGTTCACGACGAGAGAACTTCCTTTCTTTTTGCTAGAAATGCCACCTTTCTTGGCTTTGTTGTTACTATGAAGGGTGAAGTTACTTCAGTGTAAAAATCAAAAGTATCTATTTTAAATTCTAAAACTAAACATTTTCATACTAAAATGTGAATGTACAATTATGCAGCTAGCTGTTAGTCTAGAGATGGCAAATGGGCCGAGCGGCTTGTCGGCTCGTGTTGTCGAGCCTCAAGTGAGCTTGACAAACCGAGCTCGTCGAGCTCCCGAGCGGTTCATGAAAAATTAAAGAAAAATTTTAAAAAAACGTAAAAAAATAAATTCAAAAAACTCGTGGGCTCGCGGCTCGGCTCGTGAGCTCATGAACTCGTGGCCCAGCTGAGCTTGCCCATGAGCAAACGAGCCTGTGGCTCGTTTGTCACGAGCTCGAGCCAAGCTGGCTTGCCATGACTACAGCTAGCCTCACAAATGAACTACCTCAGCTCGGCCAATTGCCATGACTACGGTTAGCCTCACAAATGAACTACAAAATCTCTAGTTTGCAGTTCTACTCAATTGTTGATACTTCCAGAAGGCATTTAACGAGCTTATACATTTCCATCATCCATTTCCAAATAAAGCTAAAACAGATAGAATAATAACACTAACTGCGAATATTTGGTCTAACACAAGAATGTTTTATACGCGAGACTAAGTGTGTGTTTGGTAGGGATTTTTTGGGGGAAGAATTGATTTTGAATAGTGATATGATGAGAAATGTGTGGTTGAAAAAGAAGATAAGATTATTGATGTGGTAGAAAATATTATTTTATTGAAGAATGTGTGTAATTCTTAAACCGTAATAGAAAATAAAAATTTGACTTAGTGTGTGTTTGGTAGGAATTTTTTGGGGGAAAAATTGATTTTGAATAGTGATATGATGGAAAATGTGTGGTTGAAAAAGAAGATAAGATTATTGATGTGGTAGAAAATATTATTTTATTGAAGAATGTGTGGTTGAAAATGAGAATTGATTTACTGTTGAAAATGAGAATTGGTACAAAACATAGCCTAGATAGTACAATGGACGAGATTTTAGCTTCCTTCCGCCCTAAACATTATCCAATATTAAACCAAATTCACTGCTCAATCTACTTATTTGATTAAGCAAATCATGATAGAAAACATGAAATTATGAAAATCTTTTCCATTGTGCTGTATGCTAACATATATTCAAGCTGCCAGTTGGATGTTCATTACACAAAGCAGCACCAATCTACAGTATTAGAATCAGTAAATCAGATTAACAACATATTAAAAAACTCAAAATCAATGTCAGATTTTCATTACTAATGTTATTTTTGAGAATTGGACTTTAAAATTCCCCGCGGTCTGGAGAAATCGACTCCTAGACTTTTGTCGCAGAGTACTCCTCCATTTCAGTTTCCTCCTCTGTAGTCTCAGGTTCTGCAATCAATCCACGGATCCCATGAATCGCCAGCCACTCACTGTCATGCAAGCCTGGGAATGTGATTTCAACTCCGTTCACCATTAACGCTTCATCATCTTCATTTCTAGTAATCTCTAAACTGAATCCCTCGGCATTGTTTGGCAGTACAGTCCCATTGCCCATCTGATTAAGTTCATTCCAACCCACTTTGCAAGGCACCAAATGCCTCATGAACAACGAGGAATACCCCGGAAAATCCCCAGAGAATTGCACCAATTCCTCATCTACAGGCGCAAAAACAGTCAACTTCAATTTCTCTGGAAACCCACCAGTAAATCCAATCAACTGTAAGTCCAGAAACGAGGCCATTATCGCGTAACCTCTAGACTTCAAAGCCTCAGACGCCTCTTGAAACCGTGAGGGCTTCTCCAATTTGAGGCATTTCAAGTCTCGATCTGGGTTAATATTTCCAGTTATCGAGGTGTTTGATAGTCTAAAATTCAATCCAAAGAAGGAGTCAATGGCGTAAACTAATACCGACCCATCGTCGAAAATGGGCGATATAGCAATCGTCACATTGTTGATAGAGATTTCAACGTTCTTCGAGTCAGGAGGAGTGGTGATTGTGAGGTGGTGGGAGGTGGAGAGAGTGGGGATTTTCGAAGAAAACGGGAGGGAGAGGAGGAATGTAGGGGAGAGCGAGAGAGGCGAGAAGTGGAGGAGGAGGTCGGCAAGGGAGGGCTGGCCGAAAGTTTTGAAAGCGGTGTCTGGTGGGGAGAAGATGGTGAGGGTGGTAGTAGTGGAGGTGGTGGTGGCGGAGGGGAGTGGGAGTGTAGGGGCAATGAGTTGAACAGTAAGGGACATGGCAATGTAGCCGGAGTTTGCAAGCGTCTCCGCCGCATCAAGAAGGGCCTGCGGAGGCGTTTGGGCGGCGGAAAGAGCGGCGGAGAAGAGAGAAATAGTTGCTGTGAGGAGATACAGTCGGTGTACAAAAGCCATTGTTGTGTGTGTATGGCGGGAAGCTGTTGCGCGGTGTATGCTGTTGGTATTTGTGACAGAAGTTTGTTAAGAGTTTGCAATTTTATTTATTTATTATTATTTTTTCTTCTTCTCATTTCCGATTGTGTTGGATTGACGATTTTAGATCGGTTGTGAAAACTCTTCTAACAATCAATTGCGACGGACTTAAAGACGAATTTGAATAAAGTGGAATCGATTTTTAACGAGGATTCATACAAAGTTGTTGAAATTAATTTACGATTCAATGTTATATTTCGTTACGTTTAGGTTTGCAATCCTTGTTAAACCACAAAGATCGAGGTTGCGTTTTTAGAGTTTTGACGTATCGAATTATTTCTCGCACTAAAAACAAACGTTTAATCGAACCTTCAGGTCAACTTTTAAAGTATAACAAATTGAATTATTCATTAACGCCTGGATATTATTGATGAAGATTTTATCGACTTTCAACATTGATTGATTGCCGGGTAAGCATAATTTATTTCACTATTGTAGGTAAAGAAACATTTCGTAAGACCATTATGTCTCGTAAAATTTTTTGTAGATTTTTTGAGAAGTGATATTTTTGAAAAATGCGTAGTAAAAAAACAGTAAAAATAATTTTATTACGTTCAAGATTTTTGAAAATGAGTGAAAAAAACCAAAAAGGGTTTTGAATAATCTGTACCAAACACGACCTCAACATTTAACTGCAAAAATAATTGCATAAACTCATTTTTTGAAACAAATAACACAACTCCAACATTTAAGAATTTACACTAGGACCCCTGAGTTTCCCTATATTCGATTTGCTACCTTCAATTTCTATTTCTTCCAAATTACAAGCAATCGCGCCGCAAAATTCAGCTCAGAAAACAAATAGAAAGTGCCCTCAAATTTCTGCAACCATTTTTTCTACATGGCATTTCTCTTTCAGAAATTTTATGAGGTAAAATCTATTGCTTTGCACACGCAATACACACTTGAAGGATCATACGTCTGGATTACTCTTTTATGTTGAAATTTGTATGGGTCATCGCTATTTTTTCTTACTGGATTCAAGAAATTGGTCTAGTTATGCGTTTGGCGATTCGAAATCAATTTTTTGAATGCCCAGTTGAAAAGAAAAACTTTCATAGACTGGGAAATCGAAGATTCCTCGGGAACTAGTTTTAGATAATAAGAATAATTAGTTTCTTAGTATTGATTGTTTTTTGAGATTTTCTGTTTTATTCATTGTTTCTTAGGCTGTAAAAGTGCTCGCCAAAAGTCCCACATTTGCTCGAGATGGACGGCGCCTTCAGTTTGAGGCCGACATTAATCGTCTTTTTCTTTACACCAGGTTACTGACTTCTTTTATTGTTCAATTAACATTTTTAAATTTGATACCGTTACGATTTAGTTGATTTACTCGAATAATTTTTGTGAATTTGTTGCACACTATTTTTTTGGATTGCTGTGCTAGTTTTTGCCATTATACGTTAAACAATTATGGTCATCAATTTTTCCGTTTATATCAAGCTATCGTTTTACTTGAGTATTTAATTGATAATAACTTTTACTTGTGGTTAATGGCATCATGAATTTTGAGTGCTAATTGTTATGCTTCAAGTTTTGGCTATTGACTTGGCTATTAAAGTGAATGATTCGTGGATGCCTATAATCTTGCTTCTATGAAAATGTTAGATGCTCAATATTGAACTATATTGATTAGGATTTTATAGTACAATAGACAAAATATTACGTTCTTTTTCTTCATTATTTATACAGTATGATCCTCGTTTTTAAAAAAAGCCATATATGTCCTTGGATGTATTAAAGCACATTTCTCCCTCTTTTTAAATGAATATTAGTCTTTTTGGATTTCCAGTTTCCAGGAAAACCTAGTTTCTATAAAGTTGCAAATTTACTAAAACATTCAAGATTGGTGCTCTGTAGTTCCAGATTAGTCTCATGGCAAAATCCCTGTTTACTTGTCTCTAGCAGTGTCCGCTAATATGAAATATATTCTACAAGACAGAGGGAGTCAGGTTCTAAGTATATGACTGTTGGCACGAGATTGGCATCTTATGTGAAACTTGCACCTTGTCATACTAAATTTAGCGATCCAGATACTCAAGTACGTTGTTTAATGATCAATAAAATCCAAATGTCCACTAATCGGTCAAATATTGTTTGACAGAATGAATTTATCAAGTGTTTTTTCTTCCTATGTTCATGGAAATGCAAGACTGTATTTATTCTCTATGTGAATATATGATGACTACTGTCTAATACCTCCTTGATCCCTCACCTTAGTGTCCCATACTTGAACCATGCGTTTTATACACACACAGTCACAGATGCGCGGAAACGTTGATCCACTTCATGGTTGCATGCACATACCACATGCAATAAATACATGTTGATCCACAGTCCACTTCATCTAAAACTTAAGCTATATGTCCCACATACATTGATCCACAATGTAAATCTTAATCTGCTTAAGAGGGGACAATTTTATTTATTTAGATTTTGTCTTCAATTTCATCCCCTTACATGCAGTTCTAATTCATTGCTTCAACACGTCATCTTTGAAATTAAGTGATCAAAATTACGATAACCATTTCACCAACCATCTGTGATAAACAGAGAAATAACAGTGTCAATTTCCTTGGACTTAACACTGATTACAATTCTAGTCTAGAACATTATTCGGTTATAAGTTGTATCCTTGTAAGACTCTACTATCTCATTTGCTATGCCGATTATGATTGTGTATCGATTAAGAAGATGACAAATGTAGGGTAAGTTAATATTACTTCCGCTGACTAATTTTGTTAAGTTTTATTAAGTTTAAGCTAGTTTTTCATTTATCAAATATGTTATCACACTATTAAACTTCTAATTGAATTTCTGATAGCCATACTTCTTGCCTTAACCACACTAGCCAAGGGCCTTTTTCATCGTGTTTGGAAAACTACTTAGGAGAAATTCTTCCCCAGCAGACTTGCAATGGGATGCAGCAAGGCCACAAACAATGCTGATATGAATTTGGGAGCCCCGTGTTTTTTTTGCTCTGTGGAATTAACAGATCCATGTTTGGAGTTTTTAACAGAATGATACTTATTATGTTTGGTGTTATGTGGTATTGTGCAGAAATCAAACACTTTGCTCTCCCTTATCAATAACAATAGTAATATCTTAACGAAGAAAATGTGAGCATACTCTGTCTAAGCTACGGGTAATTGAAGAGGTGTACTTATTCTCAGAAGTTTTCAGCTTGCATTGTATGTTCAATATTGACGCTTTACACAAGTGACTCAATTGATTTAATTGGTGGTGATGTTCCAAACTTACCACCAATCTAGACTATTCACAGAGATCTGATCTAAAATAAAATATGGGACTCTGATTAAATGGTATATCTATACTGTCTAAATGGGGAGAGAACCACGATCTGGTCTTGTATAACACATAATATTTTTTTTTTTTTATGAAAGTGGCTTTTTCTCATGAAAAAATTCACTTTTCAGCTACAATCGTTTGGGAAAGAATGCTGATGAAGCAGATGCTGAGGAGATTATTGAAATGGCTAGTAAGGCCTCGCTAGCTGAGCAGCAGAAATTGGTCCAAGAAAATATTCATGCTCAAATCAATAACTTCTGTACATCTATGGACGGCATTCTCCTTCCTGATCCAAATACTGCTGATGACACAGTTACTTCACCTTCAGGAAAAAATACTACTTCTCAACGCAGTGGTCTTAGTCTTGCTATTGGTAGAAGTGCTTCATTATATGGTCGTCCTGGTGAGACACATTTATTATCGTTTCAATACCAACGATTTTGCTTCTATGTTTTAGATGCCATCGAAGTTTCTTAGGAATATTGGAGCTTGAATTTACTAACCATGTTGGTCTACTTTATTAGTTCTCATTTTATGAAGAATAGAGAAATTTATCAAAATTAATATGATCAAACGTGGTAGTGAAAAAATGAATTTTGTAGCATTTTTTGGTAGATGTATTCATCAAAAAGATTGAATTTATAATGCAGAAATGAAGATACTAAGATATATGTGTAACCACATTAGAATTGGTAAAATAAAAATTGAAAGTACTAGTCATCAAGTGGAGTTTACCACAATTGAGGCCAACTAAGCGGAAGTATGTCTTAGATGGCTAAAACTGAAAAGCTCCAATTCTCTAAAGCAACACAATCCCAGTGGACAATTTTAAAATAGGGAGGTAGACCAAAAATTAACATGGTTTGAAGCAGTTGCATTTGATTTTGACCTCTAAGAGAAGTGCTAAAGGTTGAACGGAAAGATAAAAAGGATTCGTGGAAAAAAAAAAGAAGCTTATTAGGAATAAGGTTTAATTTGTCTTTTTTTTTTAATTTCCGAATGCAATTGGAAAGATGATTAGCATTTTTCTTTCTCTGCTTCAATATGAGTTTTCGAATCTTGGACAGAGATGATGCATTGTAATCCACTTTAATGCATTACTGCAAGTGACAACCTAGATGTCATGACAACTTACAGTGCAAAGCCTATACTTTATATCATTTCAATCCTTTGTCATCCCTACGTCAACCTTTAATTATGGAAGTGTCTTTGCCTTCATTATACCACAAGATTGATACAATATCTTGGTTGGTTATGTCCTTATTTTTTTCATTTTTTTTGGGAGGGCGGGGGTGGGAAGCTATATTGCTCTTCCTGAGATGTCATTGTTAAATTGATAATCTAAATTCCCTTTTGACTAATGGAAAATTGAAGTGAATTTAGTATCACAAACATTTTTATATATGAAAGGTTGACATTAAGTGAAGATATTTCATATTTAAAAAAAAAAATGATGTGAAAAAGTGAAACTAGAAAATAGATACAAAAGTAAGTATTATAATTACGTTGTGATAGTCTTTGAAACAAAGCTGGGTTTGAAAATCTTATCAGGTGGCTGGGAAATTTGGTTGCAATAGCAAATCCTTAAGAAGATTATTTGAATATTTATAGAGTGACTTATCTTGAGTACCTATTGCAATTTTTCTAAAAGCTATTCTGCACTTAGTTAAGTAACAAAAGAATCTAAGCCCTTGTTTGCACACTCATTTTCAATCAAACATTCTTTAAAACAAAATAATGATAATAATAAAAAATCATTTTTCATGTTTCCCATAAAGTTTTCCTACTTTTAACCATGCATACATCCTCCGAAAAATTTACTTTTCAGAAAATAACCTTTCAAATAATCACTTTCACATAAGCGTGAAGTCAGAAAACAAACTAAAATGCTGAATTTAAGTAGAAAACAAACAATTTTTGTTGTTGGTGAATCAAGTATATTTTAGATGCAAATTGGCTGTAATAAACTGGGAGGGAATAATATGATCGCTTGGTTCTTGATTCAAGTCAATTGACCTACAAGCTACAAACCTGAATCCGTAATTGTGCATATATAATGCAATCTGAATTACAAATAATAGATTTTAACTATTTTCTGAGGTTTTGTTGTCTTTTTCACTCTTTTTAAACACCAAAAAAGCATCGATTGACAAATTTTTAAATTGTTTATAAATAGGTATAGTAGCGGGTTCCATGAAATGTATGGATAATGATGAGTAGTAGTTATGAATGTGCAGTTGAAATTAATGTTTGACTTTGACTGAATTTATTAACTAATTTATATATTGTATCCAAATGGTGGCGTAATCTTTGATGATAGGGGATGGAAGCAAGTGATTTTGCATCCTTCTGCAACTTATGGTTTTAAAACGGCTATTTTAGCATTGGTATATATTTGCATCACTATGTAGATATCTGTGTTTAACATCTTTTCAGAATATAAATGATGGCAATATCACAAAATTCTTTTTCGTGTAGTTTCTGTAACTTAGCCAAGTATATCATTGCTGTTGTATATGTCCATGAGTTGACTAGGTCTTTGGTGATGTAGAAGTTTATTAGAAGTGCTAAAGATGAGCAAAAGATTCATTAGATACATCATCTGATTATGTAAAAGTTAAGGATCTGTATCATTTGACTGTATCATTTGACTGTCAGATGTTACTCTGAATGATTATCTTTAGCATATACTCCTAGAATTTGATTATTGATGCATTTTCAGCACAGCCGTGCCGGAAACAAAACCACTAAAGAGTTCTGAGGTGTCACAGAAACTCAAGGATCTCATCGGTTACACTCTTGACATCAAGCCATCTCAAATTGAGCATGAGGATGCTGGGCAAGGTTTATACATAGATGGTGAAGCTGATGTAGGTTCTGTAATAGCTATTTACCCTGGTGTGGTATACTCACCAGCTTACTACCGTTTTATACCTGGATACCCGAGAGTTGATTTGCAAAATCCTTATTTAATAACAAGGTATGACGGAACTGTAATTAATGCACAGCCGTGGGGTTTTGGGGGTGAAACTCGTGAAATATGGGATGGCTTAAGTGTTCCAAAACCTAGATCAAATACGGAGCATGCAGAAAATGGTTCAGATCGAATTTTGAAGCTTCTTAGTAAACCTTTGGATGGCACACAAGTGGGACGGAAGGGAGAAGTGTTGGAGCGGAGAAACCCTTTAGCCTTTGCTCATTTTGCCAATCATCCTGCAAAGGATATGGTCCCAAATGTTATGGTCTGCACGTATGACTTTCCACTAACTGAGAAGAATATGAGAACCTATATACCAAACATTTCATTTGGAAATGGAGAGGAGGTAAAAATGAAGAAGTTTGGTACTTTCTGGATCAAATCTTGGAGATCAAGCGGCTATGGGTCAGAAATCCCTATTCTCAAGACACTTGTTCTTGTGGCTACAAGAGCAATTTGTAATGAGGAGGTGCTTTTGAACTACAGATTGAGCAACTTGAAGCGTCGGCCAACATGGTATACTCCTGTGGATGAGGAAGAAGATCGAAGGAGGTGGAGCTAGATAAATCAGTTCGAGCGATTCACCTTAAGCATAGGCCTTCATATCTTTTAGGTGTAAACTTGCCTCACTTGAGTTTTGACTTGAGAGCTGTAGTTTTTTCTTCCCTCGTTTGGATTTTTTGTAATATTTACTTGTTACCATTTCAGTTGGCCTGTATTATTTTGGCAGAGTAACTAGTTTTGTTTAGATAATATTATTGTCGACAGAGATCATTCGAGATTGCTTTCAAAAACTCGTAATCATAAGTGAAATTTACTGTGGTGGTTGAATATTACAGAAAATCTCTTTGCAGTATAAGTTTCAATACCGTCTCTGGCAAGACTTTATGAAAGGTGTTGGTGAGATTACCATTTGCTTCTATTTTTCTGCAGGTTACAATGTTTGATCATGTTTGCCATCCGAGTATTGAACATACTTGGTTCAAACCATGGGCTTGACCGCCCAGGCCTTTTTGGGTTGGTCTGTCTCAACAGGCGGATCGTACTGAAAATTTGCAAGGAATTGTAATGCAAGAGCATGCTTAACGTGAAGGTTGATTAATAGGCTTGGGTGGAATTTTAGACTTTATTACGAGTGATATAGGGTGAATTACATTAGTGTCATGAACTACAATTTTTTTGTGTAAAGTAGTAGTAATATCCTGCATCAGTTGGTATCAGACTTGATGTCCCGTATTTGAGTCGATTCTAGAGAATTCTCATGGAGTAAGTGGATAATAAAAGAGTGCTTGAAATGAAGGTAGCCCAGAGGGAGTGAGCTTAGGATGGATTCTCGAGCTCGATTCTGGCTAATATAAGGTGAATTACATTAGTGTCATAAACTATAACTTAACGACATACGTCAAATTGAGTTTCGTCATAAACAATTAACTTATTAAATAGAGCAGTTCAATTCCTTATAAACCCATCGTCATCCATGCATGTTCAATTGATTTGAAACTTCGTTCGCACTCACACATTTACCAAATAGCACCGCACAACTTGTTAAAGCATCAATTGTAGGTTGTTTGATTTCTGCAATCACGCCCTAACGAAAAAAATCAGGTCCCTTTGATAAGTACGTCAATCATCAATAAAATAGTGGTATTCAATCTCAAAAAGATTTAAATAAAAATATTGAAGTGTTCCTCACGGTTACGGATGCAATTAATCTCACGTGGAACATTTTAGGCAGTCCATTAATTCTTAGTCTTTAAGAAATAGCTGAAATTATGACATGTGTATTAACCATTTATATATACAAAAACCTGTCCGCGGCTAAGGATGTGACATATGATAGCATAAGTATTTCGAGAATTAAAAATAATGATCCAACATTTTGGCAATCTCTAAACTATTCTCTGGTCAAACAAGATTTGTTTTAATAGCATTAAAGATTAGATTTTTTGGAAATGTCGTGGCGATCATTCTTAGGCCATGTTTGGTTTAATAAAAAAATCAACTTTTTATTAAATTTTGGTAAACGTTGATAAAATCTTTAGTTGAAAAGTTCATAAAAATAGTGGATCCATAAAATAAATTTTAAAAAATGGAACCAAACGCGAGCTTTATTTTTTATCTTTATCTAGTTATGCAGATTCTTGGTTTTTAAAAAATCCTATAGAATTGAAGACACGAATAAATAATCATATCAAGGTGTATAATGAATTGACGTATTGATTTCGTGCATACAAGGTAGGTCCACAAGACCAACATGATTATTAATCAATGATTGCACTAAAAAAATTCAAACCCTAACCCGCGCACGGTTTACAATGATTAATCCAGGTAATAAAAAAAAGAAGCCAATAAGAACCGTTGGCTGATTCAGATATGAAATTCAAATTAATGTCAAGATTTGTTTACAACTTGCAACATTGTAGATAGAGACATTCACCAAAATCTGAACTAATTCTCCTAAGCTGGCACACTGCTGCCTTTTGATTTCCCTAAATCGAGGACAAGTCCGGGGTGTCGAGGACCACAATGATACTGAAATTCAACTTAAATTTCTTTTAAAAGAGAGATCATGAGTTCGAATACTGAAGGACGAGACTCAAACTCTCTCAGAGCGGATATCATGTAAGTTAACAGTTTGAGCACAGAGGTCAGATCGTTACAACAACTATACTTAAGGCGCCTGTGAAACAAGGGCTTCAGTATGATATTAAAACTGTAAAGCTCAAACTAGTATATATTAAATAATTTGTGTCCTCAAATGAGTCATTGATTATGTTCCAGTAATCCTTAATATACTAATTTTCAAGCAAAATAAAAATAAAAATGAGAATGCAAAAAATTTAAATTAGTACACATTAAATCAGCATGCAATGACTGTGAAATATGATGAAAGCTAGATAGTGAAAGCAAGAGCAATCTAGACCATGAATCTTCCTGTATGATTAATATTAAAATTAATATATTTAAATTGTCAAACACCTAACATAATTATTTGGAGAAGACCGTGTTTGTTTGGATAAATTTATAAGATATTAAAATGATAATGTGATAGAAATAAGCCCCCGTTTGACCCCCATTTTTTCCCATTACATTACATGAATTTTTTCTCTTTTCATTTCAACCACACATTCATCAAATAAAATAATATTGCACACAAATCTAAAACTTTTAATTACTTTACTACCACACATTCTCCCATTAATTACTATTCCAAAAATTTTCAACATTCCAAAATGGGGGCCAAACAGAGGCTAAGTGGATAATAATTGTGAATCCAATAAAATATGTGATGGAAAATAAATTTTAAAAAATGTAGATCAAACGTAGACATAAAAGTTGTGAAGGTTAATTATCTTGTCTACATAGAGCATGCTCATCCGTGTATATATAGCTTTATACGTAACTTATTAGAGCATCTCCAAAAGACTCTTTAANAGACTCTTTAAACATGAGATGCTCTCTATTTTAAAGAGTTAACATTTAAAATCATATTTCAAGAGACTTTTTAAATTAACATTTTAATTTAGAGAGTTAGTTTGAATCAAACTCACCCTCTATAATTAAATGCAATAAAAGTGTTTCAATTTTCAATGTAGGAAAATAATAAAATAATATAAAGAAAAACTAGTTAAAATAAAAGATAAACAAAAATAATAAATATTTTTTAGGAGTAGTAAAATTAAATGTTAAATATAAAGTTATTGTTGGAGTATTTCAAAATTTTAACTTTCTAAATTTATAGATACTTTCCAAATAATATAATATACTCTTTAAAAATAGAGGGTCAATGCTCTTATATAATAAAATTATTCAATGAATAATCATCTTCTCATTGAGAGATTGACATGTATCTAACTGTAATAAGCATGCATTATTTGACTAGGTGGCCAAGAAAAATGAAACACGCTCCCAGTTGTCATGCTTCATATTTATTAGTTTGATGACAACATAAGCTACTGTCTTAATATATTATTTATGCTAATCTAATGTATATAGCTGTACATATACGTGTGCGAGAGCTCTATATATACACATACTACATACGCAACAAATCATACCATACATTTTTCAAGCTTCTATAGCTGCTCTATTCCCCTACCTCCATCTCTCTCTCTCTCTCTTCACACAAACACACAGAAAATTTAACTTAGATACAAAGGGAAAAGAAACATGGGTTTTGTGGATCATATTTCAGATGTGTGCTCAGTTACAAGCACAAGGAAGAGCAAGCGCAAGCCAATGCAGGTAATCAATCCAACTCAACCAGTTTTTTTTCTATCTGTTTAGAAGATCTTGTTCTAAAGGAATGTCTAATTAAATGCAATGTTTTGGAACTGGCATACTGCAGACAGTGAAAATAAAGGTGAAAATGGATTGTGATGGCTGTGAAAGAAAAGTCAGAAACGCCGTTTCCTCCATCAAAGGTTTCAATCTCTCTCTCTAGAGCTCTGATACAAGAAACGTCATGAAATGCATGGTTAAAATTGAAGTTTATCGAACAAGCACTAAACATAGTCCTTAAGAAAACCTCGAGTGTTAAGAGTAAAATTTTACGAAGTTCCTTTTTTGAATTGGATTAACATTTTCAGATGTAAGCTCAAAACTCAGTATCAGAGCCCAAATACCTTATATGAGGCACAACTGAAATTTTGCAAGATAGAATCAAACATTTCTATAATATGATAACAGTAATAACATATATTGCACGTACTTTGTCAATTGATACTATTATCATTAACTATCAATATCATTAATTACATGTTTTTGGTTCTATTGTAGGTGTAAAATCAGTCGACATAAACAGAAAACAAAGTAGGGTAACAGTAAGTGGTTATGTCGAGCCAAACAAGGTCTTAAATGAAGTGAAGAGCACAGGAAAGAAAGCTGAATTTTGGCCATATGTTGAATACAATTTGGCATATTATCCATATGCTCCTGGAGCCTATGACAAAAAAGCACCTTCTGGGTATGTTAGAAATGTTGCACAGGCATTTCCAAGCCCTAATGCTCCTGCTGAGAAGTACACAACAATTTTCAGTGATGAAAATGTTAATGCATGTTCGATCATGTGAAGTGATAATTATTTTGAAGTTTAATCATATATTTTATTGTGGTTTTGGTTGGGGTTAGTCCAAAGGAAGATTTGAATCTTGTTAGTGTTTGGGTTTTAAAAAATATATTGTTAGTGATTTGTCGTAGATGAGCTTGTTACATAAATATACAAACAATCAATCAATGAGAAGTGCAGAAAGTTAAAGAACGTTGAGATTTTTCGATTGTAGTATCTGAGGTTGAGCATCGACTTCTAACACTTAATCCTCCATCAAGCATCCATAAGGGATTACGCTCCAATCTACTAGCAAATGATCAAGACAAGACCGAGGTTTCAAACCATACAAGATAAGCCCACAGACTCCACAAGAACTCACCACGCTATCCTCAACAATACAAATCCTATGACACTCTATTTGTTCCAAGAACACACCACTAAGTTTACACTTCGCAGCGATGAACTAAAGAAGAAAAATGGATTGCGAATCTGAAGGACAGAGTAAAGATGAAGAGGGAAATACTGAATAGTAAGTGGTGCAAGCTGATGCTCGGGGCTCGATATCGACTTGTAAAAAAAAAGCTCGAGCTTTTTGGGCTTGAGTCGAGCTGGCATACAAGCTTTTCACTTGTATCTTTTTACTCAAATATATGAAAAAATCGATCGTTAATTTACAACTACAAAAGTAATTATGCAAATTGTTGACTTTTACAAATTAAGTGCATGTTTGACACTCATTAATTTATTTTATGATTTGTCATAAGATCATTTTCAATCGCACATTCACATTGTAAAATATTTACACGTATACCAAAATTTTTTCCATACTTTTTAACCACACATTCTCCTAAAAATACTATTCAAAAGTCATTTTTTTTCCTAATCAATGAGAATCAAACATGCTCTAGCCTCTAAGTGATTATTAATTTACAAACGAAAAAAATTAATTATTCAAATAGTTTTAAAAGGTGGGCTACACGAGTCCACATACATGCCATCCCGTATTTGGGCATGTGCGGCTCGCTGGCTGGCCAGAGCTGGGGCTAATTTATTTTTGAGGCTTGGTCCAAGCCTTAACTTGTACAAATTCTCGACTCGAGCTTTTTTCAAATCAAGTGATGTGCCGTTCAAGTCGATCAGTTTGTTTGCCACCACTAATAGTAAGATATAATGTGATCTCAAATAGTCTGCAATAAATGTCCAAAATTGATCCACTTTCAAATCAAGCGACGTGCCGTTTAAGCCAATGGATTCGTTTGCCACCACTAATAGTTATATAAAATGTGATCCCAAATAGTTTGCAATAAATGTCCAAAATTGATCCACTTTCAAATCAAGCGACGTGCTGTTCAAGCCAACGGGTTCGTTTGCCACCACTAATAGTAATATATAATGCGATCCCAATAGTCGGCAATAAAGGTCCAAAATTGATCCACGTGTCACTAATAGCTTAGAGCATGCATGACTTCTAGATAAAGATTATTGCCTCTTAATATCCACCTTGCTGTAATCATTAATGCAAAGCAGATCATAGCTTTATCCTACTTGCTTCCTTTGAGAGACCATTGTGAGGGGCCGGTGAGGGGGGTTGTCAACCCCCCACTACAAATATAATTTCCCACTTCCTTTACTTTTGTACCTGCAAATTTGATAATCTATAACGTCCCAAGTGTTAATACCTTTGTACCCATATCTACTGGGTTATATTATATAGCAATTTTCTCCAATTTAATTAGACCTTCAGAAATATCTCTCTTATAAAATTAAATTTTACACTTCTACCATGATAAATTGGATTTTTGCTAAAAAAAAAAAGAAGATAGAACTTTGGCTATCAGAATATAAAACCACCTCTTTGTTCAAGTGACCAAGTTCAGAAAGCAAACCTCATAACCACAAATATTTATTTACAGCTTCAATAACCGCAATATACTCTACCTCAGAGGACGAAGCTAAAATTTTCTATAGCTGGGATTTCTAGCGTATGCATGAGTTACAAAGAGTAAAGACATAAAATGAAGTAAACTTTCCATCATCCCTATCTTCTGGAAAGTCTGAATCAAAGCCTAACACCCTATCTTCTTACTTTGTATGTACACTAAACCTACATCATGAGTTCCTTGTATATATTTTAAGAGCCATTTCAACGAGTCCAGTGATGTTCACTTGGATTTGACATGGACCTGCTCAAGCTCGAGACATTGATTTCATTAGCTAAATCAGGTCATGTGCTGACTGCACCATACATTATGGAACCTACAACACTAACATGGGTACGAGACTCATCCTTTTCGTACTAAAATGACTCAAATGTGATGTTAGCTTAAATCTTTCAATGATATTTTAAGAAATATGGTTATTAATTTAAGAAGAGAGAATTCTGGTTCCTATTTCTTTATGTCCCTATTTGGGCTACATTCTTTTTTTCATTTTCATTCTTCTACTCATTTCAATCACACATTTTTCAGTAAAATAATATTTTTCATTGCATCAATAACTTTTCCTTCATTTTTAACCACACATTCTCCATCAATCTACTATTCAATAATACATTCTTTCAAAAAAATGTGTCCCAAACACACTCATAATTTAACTTTCGAGCATTATTGTGAGCATCTATGTTACATTCTTTTTTTCATTTTCATTCTTCTACTCATTTCAATCACACATTTTTCAGTAAAATAATATTTTTCATTGCATCAATAACTTTTCCTTCTTTTTCAACCACACATTCTCCATCAATCTACTATTCCAAAATACTTTCTTCCAAAATAATGTGGCTCAAACACACCCTATATGTCCATTTTTAGGATTTTCCTTACACCTACTAAATCTTTCGTCTCAAATTCAGATTTGACCTAATTCTGCGAACCTGGCAAGCTGCTGCCCTTAGCTCCAATCTTCAATTACTCCTTGCCGCGGAAGCTATAGTCTTTTAATTTCTTTTGAGTTAATTCAACCCTTAAGTCAATTTATATGAATAGTGTCCGAGACTTTAGGATAAAATCTCACGTGGTTTTAAAAACGAGAATAATAATTATTTTTAACTAGGGTTCTCAATAAGATTGTTATTTTAAGATGAAACTTTAAAATTCAACGTGATATTAAAGCTCAAAAGTTCAGGCAAGCGGTCGGATTTTAAATTGGCATTCTCAAGCGTATCTCTTACGAAAACATGGTAACGGCAACTCCACCTTAAATAATAATAATAATAATACCCATTTGGGGGTGGTCAAGTTGGTGGAGCAGGTGAACGCGGAGACCGAAGGTCACGAGTTCAAATCCTTTGTCAATACTTCCTAGGTCGAGCCCGTCGCATCGGGCTTGTCTAACACGGTTTACCTCTCCTGTGTGGTTTGAGGATTATTGGACATGGAGTGAGGTTTACTCGGTGAACACTCACAGTGTCGAGCCTCCGCCCCTTTGGGGTGATCGGGGCTCTGATCGCGGGTAGCGGCTGCGGGTTACTACGTCATCAAAAAAAAAAAATTAATAATAATAAAATCATCATGCAAGGGATGGCGATATAAGCTCAAATTTGTTTGTTCGTCACTCGTGATCTTATCAAAATCAATTAGATGATAATTTATATAATGAGAAATTCTTAAGATATTTTAATTACATGGCATATGTTCTCATAATTCTTCAGATAATCATGAGATTACTACTTACCAAAATGTTTTTGACGTTTAATAAAGACTGACTTGATATACTTATTACATGCATATAAACCTCTTCAATAAATTTAAAATATTTAAATTTATACACACTAAACTCAATATGTAAACGAATGTGAAATATGATGAATGCTGGATAGGGAAAGCCAGAGAAATTTTGACCACGAAACCTCCTATGATTGGTAAGAAAATTATTAATAATATTAAATGAGTGGATTTAAATATTCAAACAGTCGATTAGTCATTAATTGGAGGCAAAAGCAAAGATGAAACGCCCCCAGTTTTCCTGCTAGATATTTTTGAGTTTGATGACATGATTAAGAAACACAAGTCACTGTCTTTATTTGTTTTTATATATTTACCAAACCTATGCATACAACTCGAACACGACTGTAATATATGTGCGTGCAGCTCATATACAACCAATTTGTACCATACATTTTTAATCAAATTACCGTAATATTTTTAAGTGCTTATAATCAATGGATGTCAAGGAATGATTGGCGAAAAAGTAGCTAAAAATCGTGAATTTTAAGAAATGTGTAGTTAAAAATGATATTTTACCAGCTTATAAGTATTTAAAAGCACAATCAAACAGTAATGAAAGAGCTGGTATGAAATATCTATCATAAGTAAGCTACCCTTAATAAATTTTTGTTATTGTTTATAAGGCGTAAATTAAATTGAGATAACATATAAGTCTCTGTTTGGGTTTCATTCGGTGGGTGTTTGGCACCCATTCTTTTGAAGAATGAGTTTTTGAATAGTAATTGATGTAAAGAATGTGTGGTTAAAAAGTAAGAAGAATTTTTGAGTTTATGTGTAATATTATTTTATTTGGAGAATGTGTTGTTAGATGTTAAATAGTGAGAAGAATTTTTGGGTTTTTATGTAATATTATTTTATTTTGAGATTGTGGGGTTAGAAATGAGTATTGTAGAAAAATGAGAATGAGATAAAAAAATGGGTGTCAAACGGGGGCTCGATAAAATTCTACTCCTCAAAAAATTTTATATTCGATAATTGGATAATATTTGTGATAGTATGAAATGTGTTATTAAAATTGTTATTTAACATTGAAAAATAGGATTTGAGAAGAAGAAAATTAATCTCAATCTAATTATAAATTTAGCACAATAATATTATCTAACACCAAATGAAACTTATAATCAGTTTAGCCAACAGTTAAATCGTCCAATGAATAAATAACAACTTCTCATTAAGCCCTTGTTTGGTTCTCAATATTTCTAAAATACATTTTTCGTTTTCTTATTTTCAACCACAAATTTTTCAATAAAATAATATTACACAAAAATCTAAAATTTTTCTTTATTTTTCAACCACATATTTTCCATTAAAATACTATTTCAAAATGCATTTTTATAACCAAAAAAATGGGGCTCAAACAGGCTCCAAGTGATTGGCACGAATTTATTGTACTAAGGCCCTGTTTGAAAACCCACATTTTCCTTGGAACTTGGAAAAATAATTGATTTTCTTTGATTTTGGCTTGTTTGTTGTGCCATATTTTCCCAGGCTTTTGTTTTCATGGTAGCTGGCTCATGCGCCAGTTTGCCTTGATTTTGGGGAAATGATTTTCCAAGTTCACGTTTCATTTTTTCATTTTTTTTTTTTNAAATAAAGCCAAATGAATAGAAAATTTAAAAATTTTTCGGGTGGAAAATTATACCAATCAAACACACTTGAAATCATTTTCCCTGCAAAACATTTTCTAAGAAAATCTTTTCCCTATAAAACATTTTCTTTCCACCCATTTTTCACCTTTGCAATCAAACGCACCCTAAGAGTATTTTCAATGCTGGTGTAAAATTAGGTATAAAAGCATGTTCAAAAGACTTTATTTTTAAAGAGTATATTTTACAATTTAGAGAGTATTGAGAATAGCGCATTGAGCTAAGTAGCATAAATGAGGCCTAAAGAGCCGACACTTGTCCACTGACTCCTATATTTATATATTGATATTCTATGGTGGACGAAAGAAAGCCTCCAAATTTAGAGAGTAAAAATTTTTAAGTGCCCCAACAAACTCTTTATATTTAACATTTAATTTTATTATTTTAAAAAAATATTTATTGGTTTTCCCTATCTTTTATATTCACTAGTTTCTCTTCAAATTATTATATTATTTTCTTCTATTGAAAATTGAAATATTTTGAATGCATTTAATTATATAAAATGATTTGACTCTCCAAAATAGTCAAACTCACTTTCTACATTAAAATATTAATTTAAAGCGTCATTTGGAGCATAATTTCAAATATTGGTTCTTTAAAATATATAGCATCTTATATTTAAATAGTTTATTCGAGATGCTTTAAATTGGTATTTCTAAAATTACTTTTATATTCTCATTTATATTCCGGTGGATTTAAATCCAAATTCTACTTCAATAGGAAGATCTAAATCATCTTTTTGCCTTGTGAATAATTTACATCTTTTTTTTTTATATTTTCTAACAAAAATTGTAATTTGCATCTCTCCATTGAAAGTTTGATCATTTTGAAGATCCAAATCTTTATTTTACGCCACAATCATAATTTGAATAGTCATTACTCATTAATTGGAGGCCAAGCAAACTGAAACGCGGATGACAACACAAGTCACATTTATTTGTATTGTTTAAGCCAATCGAATGTAGACAACTTGATCACAACTGTATGTATACGTGTGCGAGAGCTCATATATATACATATACTACATACACAATCAAATCATACCATACATTTTTCAAGCTTCTATAGCTGCTCTATTTCCCCACCTGCATCTCTCTCTCTTTTCACACAAACACAGAGAAAATTTAAATTAGATACAAAGGGAAAAGAAACATGGGTTTTCTAGATCATATTTCAGAAGTGTTCTCAGTTACAAGCACAAGAAGGAGGAAGCGCAAGCCAATGCAGGTAATCAATCCAACTCAACCAGTTTTTTTCTATCTGTTTAGAAGATCATGTTCTAAAAGAAATGTCTAATTAAATACATTGTTTTGGAACTGGCATACTGCAGACAGTGGAAATAAAGGTGAAAATGGATTGTGAAGGCTGCGAAAGAAAAGTTAAAAACGCCGTTTCCTCCATCAAAGGTTTAAATGTCTCTCTCTGATACAAGAAACACTATGAAATGTTAGGTTAAAGTTGAAGTTTTACCGGTTGAAAAGTTTATTAAAATTTTAGCACAGTTTTATCAAACAAGCACTAAACGTTTGTCCTTAAGAAAACCTCCATTGATTTTGAGACGCAAGTCTCATGAGTACAATTTTACGGAGTTACTCTTTTGAACTGAATTGAGTTTTTGAGATGTAAGACCTCTACAAGGCACAACTGAAATTCTTTAATGAACCACCATTCTATATTAAAGCACGCACTTTGTGAATTGATACTATTATTAATAATTGTCAATATCATTAATTACATGTTTTTGCTTCAATTATAGGTGTAAGATCAGTTGTCATAAACAGAAAACAAAGCCGAGTAACAGTAAGTGGTTATGTGGAGCCAAACAAGGTCTTAAATAAAGTGAAGGGCACAGGAAAGAAAGCTGAATTTTGGCCATATGTTCAATACAATTTGGCATATTATCCATATGCTCCTGGAGCCTACGACAAAAAGGCGCCTTCTGGATATGTTAGAAATGTTGCACAGGCATTTCCAAGCCCTAATGCTCCAGATGAGAAGTATACAACAATTTTCAGTGATGAAAATGTTAATGCATGTTCGATTATGTGAAGTGATGATTATTTGAATTAATTTTGAAGGTTTAATTATATATTTTATTTAGGTTTTGTTTAGGGTTAGTACAAAGGAAGATTTGAATGTTGTTAGTGATTTTGGGTTTTAAAAAATATATTGTTAGTGGTTTTGTTGTAGGATGAGCTTGTTACATTAGTATATATATGTTATGGTTCAATCTAGTAATATCCAAACATTCAATCAATCAAAAGTGCAGAAAATTAAAGAACATACAGATTTTTCGACCATAGTTTCAGAGGTTGAGTATCCACTTCTGACGCTTAGTCCCTGTTGAACATCCACAAGGGATTAAGCTCCAATCCACTAGAAGATGATCACAAGAAGATCAAAGTTTCGAGTATAAGACAAGCCCCCACATACTCTAGAAGAACGTGAAGGAGCGTGATATGATTGATTATTCAAACGCGTAGTCACGTACTCAACCTCTACGATTACCTATAAAAGAAGGAAAATGATTTGATTTGATTATTTAAGTCCCGTTTGATTCTCATTATTTTCAAAATACATTTTTCTATCTTTTTTTTCGACCACTACTCATTCTTTGCTAAAATAATATTATACGTGAACTCAAAACTTTTCCTTATTTTTTAACCACACATTCTCCATTTATCTACTATTTCAAAATACATTCTTACAATAAAAATGGGGTTCAAACATGCTCTAAATGAATGAATCTAATTGATTAGGATACTTACTCCTTGGACCTTACAAACATACAATCTGTTAGGGCTTGCAAACTTGTTATTTTTTGAGTTGGAACATTGGGTTAGGAAGAATAAACTATAAAAACTAAGAAACTTATAAAAAGTGACAATTTTGGATTCAGAATCGAACAGCAACAATTTTGGTTCAAGAATAAAGAATCGATCCGGACCGATTAGTTTCGATTCTTAAGTTATCTTTTTTCTAAACATGATCAAAACCTCTAGTTTCGACATCAGTTCCAATTCGAAAGATTTGATTTCGATTAAAATGTCATCAGCATCTAATATAATGACTGAATTTGAAATAAAATTAATGTTCGGTTATTTGATCCAATTGAGACTGCGCTAAAAGTTTCATGACCTCCAATAAAATTTACACTAAAAAGTTACTAAGCCCTTGTTTGAGTTCTATTATTTAAAAAAAAAAGTGATTTTGGAATAGTATTTTTTGAAAAATGTGTAGTTAAGAAGTAAGAAGAATTTATGAATTTATGTATAATACTATTTTATTGAGAGAATGTGTGATTGATAAGAAAATAGAGAAAAATGAATTAAAATTTAATGGGTCCAAACATGGCTAAAAATGACTTTACTTTTAACCAAACATGGTGTTTTGATTGTGTTCATCCAAAGTTTATCCTCAAAGGAAGAGAAATTGACTTTTATCTTACTTGATATTGTACTCAAGGGAACATGTGACCGTTTATGTAAAATAATGAGTGGCGTAGAAAAATAAAAAAACTTCAACAATAAGCAAACTTGAAAAGACAATTGTTTTGGGCTCTTATTTGGGAAGAGTTTTGTTATTTGTACACCATGGTACAACTCCCTCACAATAGGGGAGCTCACGACCAATAAAAAAAAAAAAAAATTATGGATCTCCCTATTGTGAAGGGACTGTACACTAGGGTATACACTCTTGGTGATTGCCGGTTTACTCTAATTTTCATCTTAAGGGCTATTTGATACTCTTTAATTTATTTTATGGTTTGTTATAAGACAATTTTCAATAATATATTCATAAAATAATATATTCTACATGCATACAAAAAAAATTTCATACTTTTTAACAAACATTCTCCCAAAAATCACTATTCAAAAACTCTTTTTTTCTACCAAAATGGTTGACAAACATGCACTTATTCTTGAGATTGCTTTCACAAAGTTATTAATTTTTTTTTTTTTTTTTCAAAATCTAAAGAGTAATGATATGTAGCCCACTGGGGTTATTTCCACCTCTTTCACTAAATATTCATGAAATATTATTGATGTTAGCACATACAAATATAAATGTGATTTGATGTACAAAAACAAAGACTATTTTATTCTATTTTGAAGGCAACAACCTTTATTCATTCACATAAGCAGCCAAAGCACTTACGATGAAATTCGATGGTTGGTCTTGACTAGAAATAAAAAAATAATATATATATATATTGCCAAAGTGTATGGATTACGAAGTTGTCTTCACAATAATGAAAATTACATAGTAAGTGCGGAAAATAACATATTAATGTAACATACGCGTGGTTGCTTGGACAAAGAGTTACTTGTACAACGTTACTGCAGTCCGATTCCACACTGGTAATTTGTAAACTGTAGTAAGTTTTTTATTTTATTTTTTGTCTTTTTTCTCCACATGGAGTATGTACACTGGTAATTGGCAAACTGTAGTTAGACCCGGTTTTGGGCAGAGGCAAGTGAGGCTTGTGCCTCAGGCCCAATTTAAAAGAGGGCCTCGAATTTTAATTTAGGGAAAATTATGCCAGTTACTGTAAAAAGGGAACAAATTAGATTAATATACTTTAACTAAATTAAAACCTCTAACAACCGTAAATAATACGTTCCCAACCCCAAAATCGTCCAAAAAACCCAAAAGTCCCAAAAAATCCCCAAAACCACGATTCCGTTAGGTGGGGGAACCAGATCTGGTGCTGGGGCTAGACGCAATAGGTGGTGCTAGCATGGCGCTAGTGGTGTCGTAGGTGGTGGAATTAGTGGGAGTATTGTGGGTGTGGGAGCAGGAGCGGGAGCCGGTGCCTTTATTGCTAGGGCTGGTGTTGGTGGTGGCTGTTGGACAGGTGCATGGGATGCTTGTGGTTGAGGTATAACTGGTGGAAGTGCTGGCGGTGAAAGAGAAAGCTAAGGAAAGAGAGGGGTTAGACCAGAATGTGGGCGTGAAATAGGAGGTGAAGTTTGCGTTGCAGTACTCAGGTGCTGCTAAAACTGCTTTATTGTATTCCCAATGTCTAGTATTTTATTCTACGAATACTTGTCTTGATGTTTGTATCACAGGTTCATCATATTATTGTAGTAGCGTTTAATTTTCTTTTTGATCTCTATTTTGCCACTAGCCTAAGCCTCTCGTTATGGAAGCTAAATCCGGAACTAGAAGAGAGGACAACAATGCCAACCAATCTAATATTGGTTAGAAGGTACATGATCTACTTATTCATTTATTTGTTTCCTTTTTGAATTTGATTCTCAACATGTAAAACTAATGGTTCCTACAATCAAGATTATTATCAAGAGGGATGTTGAGTATTTGTTACTTTTTATTGAATGTGTGCAACTTTTTTTAATTTTGTACAACGTTACTGCAGTCCGATTCCACACTGGTAATTTGCAAACTGTAGTAAGTTTTTTATTTTATTTTTTGTCTTTTTTCCCCACATGGAGTATGCACACTGGTAATTGGCAAACTGTAGTTAGACCCGGTTTTGGGTAGAGGCAAGTGAGGCCTGTGCCTCAAGCCCAATTTAAAAGAGTGCCTTGAATTTTATTTTAGGGAAAATTATGCCAGTTACTGTAAAAAGGGAACAAATTAGATTAATACACTTTAACCAAATTAAAACCTCTAACAACCGTACATAATACGTTCCCAACCCCAAAATCGTTCAAAAAACCCAAAAGTCCCAAAAATCCCCAAAACCACGATTCCGTCAGGTGGGGGAACCAAATCTGGTGCTGGGGCTGGACGCAATAGGTGGTGCTAGCATGGCGCTAGTGGTGCCGTTGGTGGTGGAATTGGTGGGGGTATTGTGGGTGTGGGAGCATGAGCGGGAGCCGGTGCCTTTATTGTTAGGGCTGGTGTTGGTGGTGGCTGTTGGACAGGTGCAGGGGATGCTTGTGGTTGAGGTATAATCGGTGGAAGTGCTGGCGGTGAAAGAGAAGGCTAAGGAAAGAGAGGGGTTGGACTAGAATGTGGGCGTGAAATAGGAGGTGAAGTTTGCGTTGCAGTACTCAGGTGCTGCTAAAACTGCTTTATCGCCTAGAGGAGTTGCAGCAAGTTTAGCAATATCATCGACGAGTACGAGGTCAGAATCTAGATAAACAACCTTTTGAACGCATTCTGGGAGCAGATCAGTCAGATAGTTGCGGGCATAGTTGAGTGGACAATCCAGTGCAGCACGAATAGAAGTTGAGATCAACCTCGCCACCGACAAATCATCGAAAGGATAGAAGTTGATTTGAAGGTAAGGAAATGACTTTGCGATTGTGAGGTTGAGGTGGGAGGTGTCAGGGGCAATGGAAGACACAAAGGGAAGATTATATTTCAGGGCAAGATGAGTGTTGACGGATTGAAAGAATAGCAGCCATGGATCCCCTGAGGTACAGTCGGTGGAAGTGAAACTGGATTCTAAACCGGGATACATACAAGCTGTCAGCATTGGCATTGTGTCTGCTGGAATTTGGAATGTTGTTGTCCAAATTTGGAATTCTATTTCCCGGGCTTCTTCGTCTTCTTCCAATGCCTGATTAATTAACATCCACATTTAGCTATTAGTCTTTACCTTTTTTTTTGTGTCCTCACAATTTCATACATTATCCTTATTCTTGTTGTATTCCTTTTGATGTTTATTTTAGCTGAGTTTATCCTCCAAATTTTTGTATTCCCAATGTCTAGTATTTTATTCTACGAATACTTGTCTTGATGTTTGTATCACAGGTTCATCATATTATTGTAGTAGCGTTTAATTTTCTTTTTGATCTCTGTTTTGCCACTAGCCTAAGCCTCTCGTTCTGGAAGCTAAATCCAGAACTAGAAGAGAGGACAACAATGCCAACCAATCTAATATTGGTTAGAAAGCACATAATCTGCTTATTCATTTATTTGTTTCCTTTTTGAATTTGATTCTCAGCATGTAAAACTAATGGTTCCTACAATTAAGATTATTATCAAGAGGGATGTTGAGTATTTGTTACTTTTTTTTGAATGTGTGCAACTTTTTTTAATGTGTTATTTTTTTAAATTCGTCACATTTTAAAAATTTATGTCACTTTTTTGAGTTTTTGTCACTTTTTTAGTATTTGTCATTTTTTTTAGTGTTTGTCACTTTTTTTAATCGCTTTTTTGAAATTTCAATCATTTTTTTAGTAACAAACATCACTTTTTTAATAAAAGTGAGATTGTAAAATGACACTAATATTTTAAAAGTGACATTGTTTCACCTTTTTTTAAAAAAAAAAAGTGACAATTTTATCACTTTTTTGTGTGCGTGTGTAACTTTTTTAAGTGTTTGTTACTTTCCAGGAATTTTTTTTTCAATTTTTATTGTTTTTTACTTTTTAAAATTTCTATCACTTTTTTTAATAACAAACATAGATTTTGATCGATGTTCTGTCACTTTTTCAAGTATTTGTCACATTTTTTAGCGTTTGTCACTTTTTTTGAATTTTGTCATTTTTAAAAAAAAAAAATGACAATTTTTATAAAAAAAGTGACACTGTGTCACTTTTTCATTTTACACAGTATTTTTTACTTCCTAAAAATATTTCATATGATTTTTCAAAACATCCCTAATTTTAAGAGTATTTTTGTAAGTACTCCTTTATTTTATTTCTTTCTAGATGGAAAAATTAGATTTAAGGCAAATTCTTTCGAGAGAATCTAAAATTAATTTGTCGTTAATTTTAAGTCGGATCCATTAGAAAATCCTATCAATTCTTTCTTGTTTTGTGAGTGATATTTTCCAGAAACAAGCTTTGAAATGATTCTATTTTATTTTTATACCCATCATTCATAAAAAACACAGAAGCCTTTCTTGAGACCATTTGG